AGTCGAGACCGAGAAGACTTCGGAAGCTGGGAGCACGAATTCACAGTGGGAAAGACCCTGCCCACGTACTGATTTCCCTCCTGCATCAGAACCCTTTTTCGCCGTTTTCGCGCTTTGCCATGTGGATTTTTGGAGTCAGCGTAGCGAATAGGCCCGGGAGTACAAAATCTCAAAATCGACTTTTTTCCCAGACACTGCCTTTAAAGTAACATATCTGCATGTTTTGTTCCAGCCTTACACCGAACATGGTTCTGTACGACCAAATTTGCACGCTGAATGCGCGATTCTAGCAAATAATGGCTTTTACTGGCTTATAGCTTCGTTCACAAAAGTGTTTAACAGATAAGGAAACAGATTCAGAGTCCGTGTTCAAAGCTGCATCTAATGGTAAGCAGCTTGTTTGGATTGGCCACCGACTTCTGACCATTCCCAACATAATGTTCTACGTCTTGTTCTAAATAGATTTCAGCAATGTGAATGGTCGTGCTTTTATGCATTACTTAAGATATGTAGTCTCGGCATGCAGTATACAAGATAACCTACGCTGCCATTTCGAGCCTCCTGTCAAATTTAGCGACCGTTGTCAGGGACGGTTTCAGTGTAAAAAAAGCTCTAAAATACAACCCATAGATTGTTATGTTGAAGGCAGCGTCCACGCAAGTCTGGACACATGGGGATCGTAATTTTCGGGCCCTAACTAAGCCACTGCCCAACCGACAGCTCAGGTGGTGCTCTAACGACCGAGGTAGTCCTTTCGAAACTGGACCTCGCGATCGTTCGCATGGATTCATGGTGCAAAGCGTGGGTCCTGGCGCGAAACTGCCACGAACCCATGTGAATACGACCGTTAGGTCCAGTTTCGAGGGGGAAACTCAGCCATTAGAGCACTACCTGAACTGCCGCTTGAGCAATGCCTTAGTTAGGACCCCAAAAGTACTTTCCATAATCTCCATAGGTCCAGATCTGCCTGTACGCTGCCTTTAAATACTAGTTGAAGTCGTCAAGACAGGCTTCTCAAGCGTGAGTTCGTCTGACTATCAGCTTGGCACTGAAGATGAAACGGGTAGTGAGATTTGATCAATGATTGGCCATCAATCATTTGAGATTAGATGTATCTGATTTGCCCGAGTGCGATAAGCAACTGACCTTTCATTTCAGCGCAGAATTCAACTCATTTATTGTCTAACATAAACTTTCTTTTTGATATTAGCGCTTTTCCTCTTCGCTGGCAATTCCATGCTTTGGAGATGTTTCTTGGGCATAGCTGTGGATCGACCTTCGGTCTTTATGCTACAGAAATTTCGTCATAATCTGTGTTAGATCATCGCCATCGTCAATCAATGTATATAGTTCTCCTCTCTCACCAATAATGGTTATGGCTCCTCATTTTCAGAATTCTTCCGGTTGAACTTTTAGCTTAAAACTTGTAAGCATAGATTCCATCGTGACCACGCGCAGTTTACCTGACTAGTACAGTAGTCATCAAGCTAGAAAAAACGAAACACTTATGAAACCTGAATGCTTATAAAATCAAACCAATAAATCTCGCGTCCAAAAAACTTGTCTGTCTGACAGCAACTTGCAGAGAAATCCTAGTTCGCATATTTTGTTTATTTTGCTTATCACAGTCAAACAACACTGTCTTTGCTTCCTGATGTGTGAGTTATTAACAACGTTGGCGGTTGGCAAGCTAGGAACAGGCATCAATACTCTGATCTAACGTGTCTTCCACCTTATTATGCATCACAGTGGGAAGATTATAATGGTTTTGAAAGATTTTGTTTGCATAGATTTCCGAGTTTCTCAATAAAAAACATCATTTGTCAAAACTGAAAAGTATTCTAAGGGTTCTGCTACAGAATAGTTATCTTTTTTAGCGATGAATGAAGCCTTTTAGACGTAACTCCAATAGTAATAGTGCGACGCTTCAAATGTGCTTTTGCTAAATGTAAATAGCAAAAATTTTGTCCTAGCTTTTCAAAGGAGCACAAGCGTACCAGCTGGCAAATGAAGCAAACATTCCACCTTCGGCAATGCATAATTGATTGTCCATTTCCACATTAAACTTTGAGTGTTACATTACTGCGAATCCTCCAAAAAGAGGATACGATCGACTTAAATATCAGTTATTTGAAAAGGACTGTTATACCAACATTACACTCATTCGAAACTCAGGTCCACTATCAGTAAACATAGCATGTTATTGATCTAGCAACAGCGTTGTGTAAGATTCCAGTTGCTGCCTTTATATTAATGAGACCAGAATGATGCAGCACATTTTATAATACTAATGTCGGACTTCTGAATTGATAACTGCACTGTAGCGCATGTTTATCACTAGGCAGGACTTCCTTAATATTTCCATATTATCTATTCTAATTAGCCATTCCACGTGCTTAATAGCGTAACGCAAACAACAGCGATACGGTGCTACATTGTGGAGCACCCTCAATCAGCACAAAAGTGACGTCTTTCGCATCTTTGCATAAGAAATTTTTCTTTTTTTACTGAGGATTGTAATACATTTTATCCGTATTGTATAAGTACAGTGCAAGTTACCGAGGCTTGGAAATATTTCAAATCGGTGCAAAGGTTCTTCCATTTTGGACCAACTCACAAATCATGTTGAGCGGGGATAATCAATAATCAAATGTAGGGCATTCGGAAAGTCGTGACGATGGCGCGACCGCGCGCAACACGCACGCACTCCCAATTCTTGGTTTCTATCGCTACTCAAATAGTTTTTCTGCTTACATATGATAATATTCAGGCACTGGAAATGAATGAGCTTGGCGTTGAGGTGTTGCTTGTTTGTATGGGTGTTTTATCCTTCTGTGTGTGGAAAGACCGCAGTCAACTCGTCGTCACGATTTTAAAAATGAACCATACTTTAAAGAGTCGAGGCAGAATTTCTTCGTAACTTCGTAACTTTGACTGTTTTCATGTGATTCTTCTGACTAACCTTGGGATCGCCGAGGCCTGCGACCCTTCTTTTTACTATGTCTAGCTTTCGGTAATTTTCAAACTTTGCTTGAAACTTTTGGAAATGTTTTGATAGCCATCTGATGGTACAGACCCTTTCAAGTTATTTCCGTATTTCTGTGGCGTACTTGTTGAAGCTACTAAGTATGTTTTCTAAGGTAATTGAATTGTATATTCGGCCTATTCTAACCTTGTAAAACGTTTTATGGTAAACAGTTCAGGCACCATTAGATGCGACTTTTTCTCCTCTTACTAACATTTATTCTCTCTTTGCGATCTATGCAACTTCTACCGACAGAATCGCCATATTTCTCAATCTCAAATTGCGCACTGTGCAACCTAATCAAGATCTTCAAAATCTGGAGCGATAATTATTTATGTACTTCGTAAGGTGAAAGAGAGGAACATGAAGCGAAGTAGAATATTTCAGTTTTGCAGTTTTAGGTGCGATTATGTGTTATGCGATTTTTTTTCGTAATTTGAGACCTTTGAATAATCATTCAGCAAATTTCTAAATAGGAGGCTGGAGAAATACAGAAAAATGACATTTTGCAAAAAGTTTGCCTAACAAGTGACTATCAAAGCACTTTCAAAAGTCTCAGAGAAAAATTCGAAAGTGAGCTAACTCTAAAAATTAAGTCCGATATGAAAGTCTCAAGAGAAATTTTTAGCATGCGGAAGTTAGACATGGGAAAATGAAAGGCCGTAAGCTTCGAAACGTGGGATAGTCGAACCGGAAAAAACCTATTGTGAAGAGGAAGAATTACAGCGAACACTGCTTGAAACTTGTTTATTTTTACACCAAGGGATCTTCGGGTTAATAGAAAACAGAAAGAGCTCTGGCAACTTTGGCAACGATCTGATATCTCCTACCCAGAATTTTTTACGTACATACATTCATTGCAGAAATTATCAATTGTCATTTTCACCAGCTGTTCCAAGTAGTCCATGATTCAATTTTTACATTGGTTGTTCGGAGCCAGCAATACTTTTCGAACAAAACAAAAGCGACTTCTATAAGGCAATTTTTGTTAATCTATCTCAAAACTCTAAGCAAACATTTGTAGAGACTCGCGATGTAAATGAGCGGTAAAGATTATTCCGTGAAAGCTGAAATATCACAAATTTTTACCTTTTTGGGTTCATTGCGATCGAATATTTCTCGAGCAAGTTGTGTATGATATTTTATGGTGATTCTGGGCCATTGAACTGCAAAATAAGAACCGAAAAATCCTTAACTAGCGTTAACTTCCGAGAGCTTTGCTAGGAGGAGTCTTAAGCGCGTTCGGCGTACGAATTCTATTTCTCGGAAATGTTGAAAAAATGTTCTACAGAATTTATTCCGGAGAAAGCTATGAATTTTAAAATGCCAAATAGAAAAACATTTGAATGATCTATATAAGGTAGTTTCGTTACCTGTGGCAAATACTGTCTTTGAGAAGAAAAACTGCCAAAAACAATTTTTGCCTAAACATGCCAAACAAAACCTCTCACAAACTTCCACAGATGCGATAATTCCTTCTGTCATGCGATAAGATCAATGTAAGGGAAAAAACAATAAAGCGCAAGTGACTGAGGGACCCGTCATACTTCGCCCGAAAAAGCCCAAAAAAGCCCAAAAGCGCCCAAAGAAGCCCGAAAAAGCCTGAAAAAGCCCAAAAAAGCCCGAAAGCGCCAGAAAGAGCCGGAATGTAGAAACGAACTTTTGTAGAATTCTGACATTATCTTATCATGCGGACGACAAAAAATGACAAAAAGGCTCGATTGCGAAGTCAACACACATGCCTTAGCGCCAAAACATGCGAGAAGTGTTCCGGCTTTTTCTGGCGCTTTTGGGCTTTTTTGGGCTTTTCGGGCTTTTTTGGGCTTTTTCGGGCTTTTTCGGGCTTTTTTGGGCTTTTTTGGGCTTTTTTGGGCTTTTTCGGGCTTCTTTGGGCTTTTTTCGGCGAAGTATGACGGGTCCCTGAAGCATTCGAATATGTTGTTCCTCATAGATCTGATCTTTGTATCTTCTCCATATGCTTCGCTCAACGTTGCGAAATATCTTGTTTCATAAAAAGTGTCATATTCTCCATCAAAAGTAAGTTTTAGCTTGTTTTTACCGTCAGAAGTGCTATGCAAACGTATATGCTGGATTGAGGCTTCTTGGATATAATATGGTAGCTAGTGTGGAAACAGCAGAGCAGGTGAGTAGAAGATACAATGAGCTATTAGAAGGGCGCCAAAGAAGAGAGTTGCAAAAGTTTCTGATAGCAGCGACATAAAACCTCCTCTACTTCATCTCTTAAATGGCGAGAGCAAAATTAGTGGAATTATCTGAACTGTAACAGCGTGGGTGTCAATCCTAATGGTCCCAGCTTATAGTGGCGTTAGAGCAACAAGTTGATTAAAACAATCTTTTGATAAGAGACCTTCCCAGTAGATCTTATTAACCACGTAAAGAGATATTTCCTATGAAAACCACTCTAAAAACCGAATGATTTGCATTGTTTCCACCAAGTGTCATAATAGCAATAATTCATGCATGCACCTGCCGGTAAAGTAGTGCATGTAAGAAATGCTCTGCTGACCCGGGTTGCAACACTGCTCATATTCTTGAAAATTATCCCCATAACCCGCGATTATGTTTTTGCAGGTCCTGTGGTATATAATGTGCGGTAGCCCTTCTGGAACGGTAGTTATACTGCAAATAGGCAGGTTCAATTTTGGGACATTGTAAGCAACACGCCGAATAACCTTTGGACAAAATTTCAGACATTCCCAACTTTCTGAACAACTGTTGTATGACTACAGTATCTCGCAGTGTGGCCCCCTCCTATCGTAGGATGGTGCTCAGTGTGCTGATCATAACACGTACAGTCGCTTCATTTCATATGATCATGTGTGCCATTGCACACACAGTTCACTTTGGCGTCCTCATCCTGGATTTGCAATCGCAAAAACGCAAGAGACTTACCGATTGTTATCGATTACATCAATTTGAGGTGATAACTAAAAAGGAAAGAAAATGCTAAGAACACCTTGGAAACACTTACTTGAAGGCTAGTTTCTCCCACGAATTCAGGATGGGGACGCCAAAGGTGAACTGTGTGTGCAATGACACACATGTTCATATGGAATGAAGCGAGTGTACATACACTTATTGGTGGGGGTTACAGTGCGAGAAACTGTAGGCATACTATAGTTCAAAATGTTGGGATTGTTTAAAATTTTTAGGTAGCCTTGGATTTGAGCTAATGTAGGCTCCCTACCTAAGCTTAAATCGAGATGTGTAAAAAATGATAGGCACCGTATACTTAACGCATCCATACAGACTATGGATATATTATCTATATATTGACTTAAAAGTTATCTTTGGATTCACAATTTGTCCCTTCTGAACAGAGAAATGGTGTCAAGACGCAAATGTGAGGAACTTAGATGACAACTCGCCTTTTTTCAGTAAGTTTGGGTATTATTGTAACATATTTCTTTGATGTCCATGAACCCCTAAGACTCTGGCGTGATGCGGATTATTGACAAATCGGAGGGAAAAGCAGATTTGCACTTTCAAATGTTACAATGAAATTTTTGATAGTCAGCAATTTATTAGAAAGAACTATCTATGAGCTGCATAGAAACTATGTGAAACAAACTTGTTCCTAAAATACCGAGCCGACACAAAGGTACAAACGTACCTTTGAGAAGTTATGTATCTCCACTGGCACACTGGATTTTTACGATTTCTCTTTAAACGCTGACGGGATTGGAGAGTTTGATTGAAACACGAAACACGAAACAACGCTCTTGAGCTCAAATTTTGAGTATAGTTCCGGATCGTAGCACAAGAAAAGGAGTCTGAGCGAGATCCCTACAATAAAGCGTAACGAGTGAAGTGAATAAAGTGTGACGTGTGACCTCATGACCTTGTAATGTGACTTTTTCTTCTGCGCACAAGCGCATACCATTGTAACTTGTTGTCATACTTTTTTGGTCATAGAGCTACTTCTGTGTCGTATCGTACATCGCAGATGTAGTGTTTCAGTGTGACTCGTAAGTCTCATCGCATCCTTGCTTCCATTACACTGAGCCTGCGCTTCTCGTTCCGCTTACCATTTAAATCAACTGGCTTGTCTTCGCGAAGGCGGGGCATCGCGACCTAATTAAGGCTAAGTGATGATCAGAAAGCACTAGAGACGCAGGTGCATTGCCGGCGCCGGCCTTAATTAGTTCACAAAACCCCGCCTTCTTGAAGCCAAGCCAGTTGAGTCAAAGGTTGCATGGCCAACTAGCGGTCTGCACTGCCAATTCTACTATCTCGAACATGTTTATCTAGCCGCGTGTTACCAATGTTTTCTAAGCGAAGCATCAATTAATCGGCCCGCACAGAGCAAGTGACAAATTAACACAATTTTGTGTTAAGTTGTCATACAACTTCTTACTTTGCTTATATACTCAATTGCGCACTACAGCAGATTTGGTCTTAAAGGCACCGTCCAACCAAAATGGAGGTTGGCGAGATTATGATGGCATACTAGTATGGGCCCCCTCCTAGGCAAACCCCCAAACTTCGTCGCAAAAGATTGCTTCTGGAGCGAGAAATCCGCTCCGGAAGTAGCAAAGTAGGCAGGGCAACCAGGGTTGCCCCGCCCACTTGCATGCTTTATCTCGCCTGCGCTTGTTGCAGAGGGTTCTCGAAACAGGGATTTTTGGGGATTCCGCGGATTTTTGACTCCATATTCGGAATCAGGGCCTTCAGAAGGCCTGAATATGACAAAAACATTGAATTCGAGATTTTGGGTGGACGGTGCTTTTAAGCGGTGGCGATGAAGGAACCAGAAAAAAAACCTAAAATGAATCCGAGATGAGGTGGATGGACAAGAATCCAGGCCAAACTGCGAGGGCCAGAAATCAGGGTTGAACAAGAGGTCAGGCACAAGTCTTTCGAAAACGATCCGCCTCCATGAAAGCCCTCAAACGACCCCTCCTTCCTCCTCTTGACCTCCGGAACCTCAGAGGGTGAAATTCTAGAAAACATACTCTTTTCTACAGAGCTTTAGATTTTTGAAAACTGTACCCGGTTTTCTGTGATTGTACTTTGCAATCACGCGCGTAATTTGAAGGCTGATTTCAATCATCCTATTGAAAGGGCCATAGATTTTCTAAGGGTGGGCGTTCGGCTCCGAATTTCCACTTTAGCAAGAAGCTATGAGCTCAAAGTTAAGGGGGCCAGGCCCAACCCCTCAAAAGCTCAGGCAGGTTGACCTTTTGAGGGGTTGCGCCTGACCCGATTAACTTTATCATTAAATAACCTTAGTTTTATATGATTCGCTAGCATAAACCTCCAAGATTTTAGAATTGTTTGAGCTTATCTCGACTTGTTTTGGCTTTGTGGTTATCGGTGAATTTGAAGCACTCGAGGTGAGAAAGCAGTGACTAACATTTTGGGCACTTACTATTCCATTATTTGAAAGCGATATGAGATCAAATTTATATCATAGGCTGATAAAGAGCAACGCTTCGTTATGATTACAAAAAGGCTATTTCTTTCACTTTTGTGACCAAGTAATCATGTTTGAAACTCATGCTTTTTAGACGTTAGGAAACACTAGAAAATGTAATAGGTAACGGTTTATAGAGATCGTTGAGATAATTTGGCATGCTGAAATCTTATGCAGTTTAACAAAAAGCTTCTTTGGTGACCTTAGGTATGTGCTAGATAAGACGAATAATTGAAATTTGGCTGAGATTTCGGTTGTCAAATTAATCAGCATGCTGTTGACGACAGTCATTCCCCTGGCGGAGTGGTGAATTTCACCGCTGAGCGCCGATCGTATTACTTCCTCATTTCTTCAAACAAGTTCGCTTTTTGATCAAGACCTTTTGATCAGATAAGTCAAGCAAAGCAGACTTTGCTTGATTTGGACCTATGCGAAAAAGTTGTGTAGAGGCCTGTTAACGAGGAACTTCTTAAGTTTCATCCTCCATCTCATTCCCTTCCCTTTCGAATATGACGCGGATTAGCGCGAACGCTCGCTTCGGCTTGCACCTCTTTGCAGAAGCATGGCCTGGCGTGGCAACGAAAACAACACGGGAAAGTCTGCGCCAGAAGAGGAGGAACATATGGGTTGAGATAGAGCGTACACTAGTGTAAACGACTACGTCGACTTCTTTTGGCTTTGTGGTAGTCCAGGGAGTGAAACACACTCAATACGAAAAATTGGTGATTGGAATTTTGGGAGCACTTCTAAGGTGCTAGCACGGATCAGCAAAAACTATTACCCTAACTTCACGCGTACAAGGCGCAGGGAGTTTCTCTCAAAATCAGCCAGCCCAAACACGCCAAAGGACTTCGCAACCAAAGGACCCTATTCCGTGCTGTATATGCTTAAGAAAATGAGGAGTAAGGATCGCTTTCCGAAATTGAGTAAAGCGGCTGAGGGGCTCGATTGAAAAATCGAAAAAGATGCGCCTTGTATGCGTGAAATTAAGGTATCTACTTCGTTATGAGTAAAAGACTGTTTTTATTGTTTTAGAACCAAGTCAATCATGTTTGAAAATGACGCTTTCTAAATGCTAGAAAATACCGGAAGTTGCAGCAGGTAATAGTTTTCAGAGCTCATAGATGTTACGTGCTCACTACGTGAATCACATTCATTTCATAAAGTGGAATTTTTTTCATACTTTACGACTGGTGCAAATCAAGGAATGAAGGTTTTGGAAATTGGTGAGACTTTGTTAGTGAATAATCAGATACAAGAAGATAAGATTTTCCCTAATTTCCAGACATAAAGCAGATGCCTGACTGATTCAAGATGTTTGCTTACCATATCTCCACTTCTTTCAGATCATATTTTCTCTTCCTCTCCTGCTTCAGCTTCAAGTTAGTTGCAGCACACGCGTAGTATTCGTGGTGAATTTGTCCTTCTTGACCGGCTCGCTTTGTGACACCGTATTCTCCTCACCGCAAAATGTAAATGATTTCTACCACCCTTTACTACTTAACTTGGAAAAAATGAATGGTATAGTTTTAATTTTCCTAGATGTTAGTAAACAAATCAATAAATCGATAGAAGGACCCAGTGAATCGTCGCAAAAAGTGGCCTATCTTCTGCGCCTGGCCTCATTTATAGGGGAGCAAATTTCAGCCTCATTGGTTCACAAACAAAGGAATCTATAAGCCACATACTTACATACGAAAAAATTT